AAGTGTAACTTGAGAGAAAATGTTTTTAGAACTGTTAGACTGTTATGTGGTTGGTTTTCCTTGAGTTTGGAATCTAATGGCAAGGAAACTGGTGATGCCACTATGTGATCCATGTAATATGTAAGCACTGTTCCCTACATGTCCTTGTCTGGCTAGCCTATTCATCAGATTCTTGATTTGGTGATACTAATGAAATCAGATGGTGTTCTTTCTCTAGGGGATTTCTGGGCCAGGCTACCCATGTATATCTGTGAAGAATAAAGAGAATAATAAAGCTCACTAAACATTTATAATGGCAGGGAAATCCTTCAGTAACTTAATTTTTCCCTGGGTTGCCAGGTTTATCTATATTTTTAGTGATGATGAACTAGGAATCTTGAGTTATATTTCTTTAAATGCCATTAAGCCATAATAGTAGGGTTAAAGGCATTTCTGGTGGCGGTGTTGAGGAAGAAAAACTGTAGTCATTCCTTTTCAACAGATAGTCTGATATAAAAGGAATAGTTCTGATGCAAAAGGAATAACTTCTTATTATCATGGTGGTAAGATAAGTCCTGTAACTTAATCTCTGGAATGTTTCCCTACCAAATAAGGGCTTTTTTCCCTGACTCGCTTAGGGAACCAGGTGGACTAGAAGACAAGAGGCAACTACAGAATCCAGTCTTCCAGCTGCCCCCGGGCTTGCCCTCTTGAGCTTTCATCCTAGGTTGAAATTGCCATAAAATGCTCACTAAATGATTTGTACTTGCTGTCAGTAAAAACCAACAATACAACAACGCTGAAGGAAAATACATTTTTATTCTTTCTACTTGGGTGCACTGTCTGTGTTCTTTGTAAATGCAATACAATAAACAAATTATTTAATAACCTACACGTTTCTAAGAAGCGTTTGTTTATTAGTTACCAGAACTGCTCCTACTGGCTTAGGGACCGGGGAGGAAAAGTGGGAGGAATCACTCTTGAAGTGAAGGTACCTAAAGGAAACTTCAGGACTTGGGTGATGATAATGTATTTTGTGTTCCCTGCCCCTGGCCTGGAGGATGTTGACCTAAATGTAAGCCTAAGGTGAATATGCTGGTTCTTAAACAGTGATACCACCCCTCCATACACACCTCCTTCCCCCTTCCCCCCAAAAAAAATTATGTTGAAATGGAGAAATTAGTTTCATAGATACATGCAACAGCATGATGTCCATTCAGCACCACTGGTCCACTCCCCTGATCTATCTCCAAACCACTGAGATAGAAATATGAATTCACTGACTTGAGTGTTGAGTGCTGAGATCAGCCTGAGGACCCTTTTTTCCAAGGGTTCTTAACCTAGGGTTCACAAACTTAATTTTAAAAAATATTTTGGTAGCTATTTCAGTATTTGTTTCCTTTGTTGTCCTGTGTATTTAAAACTGCAAAGGGTCTGTCAGAAAAGGTTGAGAATCCCTGCATTACACACACATGTTAACCCTCCCCCCTCCAACTTCCCAAGGACAACAAAAATTCCTAGATCAAAATTTCTTATTTAGCTGTTGGCTAGAATGTCACCTGAATTGGTCTGAATACAAACTAACGTTAACCAAGACCTAATGCTCCTCCTGAGAACAGTGCCCAGCTTTTACCTATTCTCTCTTGGAAATAAGTTTATAGATAAAAGGAATGATTCTTCCAGTTGATCAAACTTCCTGATAAGGGAACTTAAAGGTAAACTCAGAATCGTTCTCCAGATACTGGTCTGTGACTTGGGAAACATGGTGTCTTAGTTAGTTTTATTTAGCCCACTAAATAAACCTGGTTATTTTGTATCTAGGTAAAGGAGTGATTTGCAAACACTACTGGTATTCCTAACCTCATAGACAAAAAACTTTCTTAAACACATCAAACCTTTAGTAGTAGAAAGCAATGTTTTGGTTGGGGGAGGGGGGGAGCCGAGGCCTCGAGGGGAAAGGGTGCTGTAAGTATGTAGATATCTAGGCAGATATTTGCTACCTTTCAGAAAATACCACAAACAAGTTAATTTATCACATCATTAAAATGAATCACAACCTTATGAGAACAAGGAAACAACCCCATATTACAAATAAGGAAATGGAGACCAAGAAGGGGTTTGCAGCCATATTGAACTAAAAGTTGTTAACAGTGACAATGAGTTCTTAATTTCAGCTTCTGCCTTTAGCTTGTATCACCTTGAGGCATTTGGCATTGGGGCCAGAGTTGAAAAAGAGTTGCAGACGTTTGTTCAGTCACATCTGATTCTTTGTGACCCCATTTGGGGTTTTCTTGACAAAAATGCTGGAGTGGTTTGCCATTTCCTTCTCCAGAAAACTGAGGCAAACAGTGTTAAGTGACTCATCCAGGGTCACCTAGCTAGTAAGTATATGAGGCCAAATTAGAACTCGGGAAGACAAATCTTCCTGACTCCAGTGCTGGCACTATCCACCAGGCCACCTCGATGCCCCTTACCACTTGATAAACTTAACTTTTGGTTTTATTTCTTTTTGTCATTACATCAAAGTTTTAATGAGAGGGTTTCTGGTTCAACTTTTTTTTTACCTTTTCATAATTTAATAGACTTCAAATGATAGAATAGAATTATTGGGTACGAAAATATAGCTTTGATTTTTTTGTCAATTGATATGCCTTTTTAAAAATTGTGCCATCATGATTTAAGTTGAAAGGATTTGATTTGGCTACATTGACACTGTTATTTGCTGCTTTGGTTATAGGTTAGTAAGTGGATTACAGTTGTCTGCCAATTTAATGGACAATACTGTATTGAATAATTTTCACCTGTTTGTTCCTTGACATTTTAATTCTACAGCAGAGATTCTCAAACTGGTACTACACATACCCAAACCAGGGAGTACAAAAAAAGATTGTCTAGAGAGGTATGGGAAATGTTTGATAATGTTTGTTATCCTGTTGAAATTATTTGATTTCTCATGTGAAAATGCATAGTAAACACTTGAATTTATTTGCTCTTGTATTAAATGAGGGATATGGTTGGCTTACTGAAAACCAAGAAGCACAAGGATGAGAAAATGTGAGGAAGTGTTACTCCTGCAAAGTATGTAGATCTTCTAGATTTTGGTCCACTTCTCTCAGCAGCCTTCATTATTTGTCACACGAATTCTAAACTGATTTATCAAAAACATGTTGCTTTATGGCTCTCAGAGAAAGATGCAAGGTAATTTTGTAATACTCCACTTTGTGCCAGATGTTGTTTTTAAAAGCCCATCTAAGTAAGAACATGCTTGGGCAAGTATGACAAGATATGTTAATAGTTTGCAGAGAACAGGAGAGGGAAATAATTGGCAAAGTTGTGAAGATGTCTCATGGGTAAGGTTTCCTTTCAACTTCAAGTTTGGGACTTAAGCACCTTTTAATCCAAGATAGACCAGGCATCTGATACAGCCCCAGTTCAATTCCTCCAGTATCTGTCTGTCTGCAGGGTTGGGTTTGGACAAGGGTTGCCCTTGTCCCTTAATGAAGTGATACCTATAGTCCTATAGCCCCAGCCTCAGAGAGGGGGTCCAAATGAGGTGGCAGTCATTGGAAAGTCATTGACTGAGCCCTTTGCTTGGGCTAAAATCCTAGAACATCTGAGCTAAAAGAGACCTGAAAGTGGTCTAAGGGAGAAAACTTGGGGTTTGTGAATTTTTAATATTTTGGTAACTATGTTTTAATATATTTGGTTTCTTTTGTAATTCTGTGTATTTGAGGCATTTAAAAACATTCCGAGAAGGGGGCCGTGTACGGAAAAGGTAAATCCCCAATATAGTCTAGTTCCTTTATTTTGTAACTGGGACCCATAGAGAAGTGACCCAAATTATGTAACAACTTGATAGTGTGTGTGTTGATTATTGTTTAAGCAGGGCCGTAATTAAAATTACCAAGAATTTCCTGAATTCTTAAAATGAGGAGAAAAAGGAAGTAAAATATGGTTGCTCCAGAAAACATTACCCTGCTAGATTATTTGTTGAATTCTGGAAACATTATTAAGTTTTTATTTTTGTTTGACTAGGGAGTAAGGGAAGGATAGGTGGAATGCTGCAAATTAATCAGTAGGGGGCAGCTACGTGGCACAGTGGATAGAGCACCTGCCCTGGAATCAGGAGGACCTGAGTTTGAATTTGACCTCAGACACTAGCTAGCTGTGTGACCCTGGGCAAGTAACTAACCCCATTGCCTCTTAAAAAAAAATTAGTAGGAGAATGTAATGCTGTAAATTGATCATCTTTATGTTCCCTTAGAGAATAGATATCTCCATCCCCTTAAGATTCCCAGTGTTTTGTAGACCCATTTCGTGGTCAAGTCTTCTACAAGAAACCTTTACTAATCCCCCCAAGCTGTTAATGCCCTGTCCCAAGATAATCCTGTATCCTGTATATATGTGCATTTCCCCCATAGAACAGAAGTTCTTTGGGAGCAGAAACTTTTTTCCTTTGTGCACTCAGTGTCTGACAAATACTTGTTAATTGATTAGTGAAATTTCTGATAGTAAAATATTGGGAATTGCATTCACAGTTTACTTGACCTGGAGATAAGGCCTTTCTGTAGCAAGAGGGAAGTGCTTAGACTTCATTAGGGCAAGGATGGGTGCAGAGGGCAGAATACCATCCCTTCTACTTTCGTAGAGTTCCTGGCGGGGTGTGAATTGTATGTGTGTGAGCCCAAAAGTTTTGAAGGATTGAGACAAAGTGATCAGTGTTTGAATAAAGGAGTTGGGCAGGGTTTACAGTTAAGTTCAGCTGTACTTCCCTACTCTAGAGTACAAAGAATCAGTGCCTGCTACCTGGACAACAGCTGGAGAAAATAACCAGGATTATTCACCTCAAAGAATTCTTTGTAACCAGATCATTTGAGCACTGTTAACTCTGTGCCATTTCCCCAGACCCAGAAACAACTTTTACCAAACAAAGCATGTCTTTGTACTGGTGCAAAGCAATGTTTTTACCTGCATTCTGACCTCTGGAGACTTGTAAGGTGTTCCGTTCTGAATGTGTTTTATTTTGTACATGAAATGAATTTGTCCAGACTTAAAAGGTGGCTGCTTTCCAAAACTGGTAGCCAATTACAGCTCCTGGTTGCATTAATATAGTGGGTATTGACTCAATGTGACTTAATTATTATAAGAACAATATAAATTCTACCAGTTTAGCAAGATTAGCCAACTGAAATATCCCTGCTAATTGGGGGGGGGATGAGAGAGAAATTCTAAGTTAACAAAAGTAAAAATTAACCTTTTGTAATACTCCACAAGATTTATACAGTAGTTTCCATAAATATTAGGTTAATTTGAGTTTTCTCAGCCTAATAGTATATCCCTGTATCAGTTCTGCATTCTAGAGCAATAAAATGAGCCAGAGATGGAGAAGGAAAAGCAAAGATTGTTTTGAGTGTCAAACAGCCCCCAAATCCGACAAACTGATAATCAGCCCTTGAATAATCCAGAAGTAGGCACCTCTAAAAACTCCACTGGAGTAAACCTAGATAAAATTTCTCTTTGTGTTATTTTTAGGTAGCCCTGATCTCAAAGACTTTAGTCCTTTAGGCTTTCAAGGGCTGTAAGGGACCTTAGAGATTGAATTCAACGAACCCTCCTCTTACAGGTGAGAAAATATCATCCACAGAAGCGAAATGACTTCTTCCAGAGCACTCAACTGTTTAGTAGTGGAGGTGGGCCAAGATAGAACCAAGTGTCCCAACTCCCAGCCCAGTACTCTTTACATCAGCTGGTGGCTGCCCTTCTTTAGTTCTTCTGTAGCACCTGAAAAGCAGCACCATCATTGGGCTATGTCTTCAATCATGGTGAAATCCCAAGTTCTAATTCCATGTTGCATCGAGATTTAAGGACTCAAGTAGAGGAAGATGGGGCAATTGGGAAGGTGTAAAGTTCTATCTGAGGAATCAGAATCTGTAACTTTATATTGAAGTTGTATGTGGGTTCTTTACAAGAAGTAGATGTCCTGTAATACGAGAGAAACAAGCTGAAGCTGCACTGTAGATTGTTCTTCCTGTCCCCATCCCACATGTGCCAACCACCTTCTTCCCCGGAGCACAACAATACAGATACAAATCTTCATTCTCTGCACCCCACCCCCCAACCTAACAAATAGGATATCCCAAAACTTTTAGTATCTTAAGACTTTGAGTACCCTGTATGGTGCAACAAGTTACGTGCCTTTTTTTTGTTTTTGAGTATTATCTTTTCCTCCAGATTTAGCTATTTGGGACACAAGCTTAACTAAAGACCAGCTCATCATTTCCTCAAATTAGGATCATCAGTGGTTGTATTTGAGCCATTTCCATCTTCTGCGATGGAAACTCTTGGAGTACAGCAAGAAGTGAGGCTCTGCTCTTCAGGATTAAATAAGAAATCTGTATCATTTTAAAATACATGGATTGGCCAGCAATTGAATTACTTACCCAGATGTTGAACTGTTTCAAACTTCCTCTGTAAGGGAAAAGAAAGGGGAAAAAATCTGTGTTTACCATAAAGCCTTAGAATCAGGGTTAAGGATGGGGCAGCTAGGTGGTGCGATGGATAGAGCACTGGTCCTGAAGTCAGGAGGACCTGAGTTCAAATCCAGCCTCAGTCCAAGCACTTGACACTTACTAGCTGTATGACCCTGGGCAAGTCACTTAACTCCAATTGCCTAAGAAGCAACAAAAAAAAAAAGATTCAATAAATTGGATTTTGGGGCAGCTAGGCAGACACTTACTAGCTGTGTGACCCTGGGCAAGTCACATGACCCCAATTGCCTAAAAAGAAAAATTAAAAGGAAAAAAAAAGAATCAGGGTTAAAATGTACCTTAACAGGTCATTTAGTCTAACCCCCTTATTTAACTGATGAGTAAACTGAAAGCCAAAGTGGGCAAATTACTTGCCCAAGTTCACATAAGTGGTAAATAGTAATAAAGCCTGGATCAGAACACAGTTTTCTTCCCTTCTAGGCCATTGCTGTTTTCGATATTATATACCTCTCTTATAAAATCATTTTCTTACAGCATCAAGAAAAGAGCTACTGGGGTGGGGGGAAGGCATTAAAGAGGTGTGAAAAAGATCAGCTGATTTCCAGATACACTTGTAAAGGAATGTGAAGTTTCCTTGGCAAAATGCATGGATGTGAAGAAAATTGTCCAACCCAGTGGAGTTATGGGGCTTCAAGAAAGGGAAGAATGAAGCAAACCACTCTATAAACCACTCTTATAAAACAAGATAGAGATACAAACTCTATGGGATAATGTGAAAAAATGACAGTTCACATTTCTGTAGCCCTTCAAAGCTCACGAAGCACTTTTCTCTTGTGAGACAGGAGTACAGAAATGCTTAGAGCTCAGCATCTGAGATGAATTACTTGCCCAAAGATCTAGGATCACAGAATGTAAAGGTAGAAGGCTCCTTATAGGTCATTTATTCCAACCTCATCAAATGAATAAACTGGCCTGCTAAATAACCCTGTGCATTCCACTAGATTGGCTCTCTGCAGGTCTTTTTGAAAAATCTGATCATTCTCATCTGGAATGAAGTTTTTCTGCATGGAAGGTAAGAGGGCTGGAAAGGATATCCTCTCCATGTCCTTTTCGGCCTAAATACTCTATTACAGAAGGAAAATCAAAACTTGGTACTTAGGGAAGGTTACTAGTTTGCTGAGGTGCAGTGGACAGAGTGCCAGTCCTGAAGTCAGGAAGACATCCTCCTGAGTTCAAATGTGGCCTCAGATACTTATTAGCTGTGTGACCCTGGGCAAGTCACTTAACCCTATTTGCTTCAGTTTCCTCATCTGTAAAATGAGCTGGAGAAGGAAATGGCAAACCACTGCAGTATCTTTGCCAAGAAAGCCCTGAATGCTGTCAAGGGGAGTCTGACAACTGAACAATACTAGTTTACTCAAGTTGTTTACATTTCTAGTTACATAGCTCCTCAAGCATCCAGGGTTTTAATGATCATTATAGCTTTTAAAAGCCCCAGCTTTTAATAATAATAATAATAATAGCTGGCATTTAACCTCTTTAAGGTTTGCAAAGTGGTGTACATGTTTTCATTTGATCCTGACAACAACCTTGTGAGAGATGCTATTATTGTCCCTATTTTGCAGATGAGCAAACTGAGGCAGACAGGTTATGACTTGCCTGGGGTCACATGGCTAGGAAGTGTCTGAGGAGGAATTTGAATTTGGGTCTTCCTGACTCCCGGGTCCAACACTAACCACTGCATCACTTAGCTGACTTTGGAAGGGTTTCCTAAATCTAATGTTGAGTAGCTAAAGAAAAAAAAAAACAAAAAAAAAAAAGGAAAACTAAAACTAAAAATTAGCTAATTTTCTCTTTCCTCACTCCCTACTTGATCTCAACACTACTAATTATTCCACCAGCAATTTGCATCAGTGTTCATTATCTCTTTCAAATATAAGTCTCTCTTTCCTTTGCCCCCCAAAAGGGATCACCGCTGTGGTTTGAATGTCAGTGGAGTGTAGGCCTATTCTCTCCACATCTGTTCCACTTTGGGAGACTGAGGCACTGGAAGGAAATCATGAGGGGAAGTTAAGTGTCACAAACAGCCCACCTGCTGAGGCTGTAGGAGAATACATGAGTAGGTGTTCAGGCTTGACTTTTTCGAGCTTACAAATGGAGTTGCAGCTGGGGAGGAAAGTGTAACAGAAAAACTCTCGTTTCCCCAGATTCTGCATCATCATATAACCCAAGGTGGGAAAGGGTTATGGCTAGTGGGGTTTAACTTCTTGGTTCTCGTTGAAGCAAATGCTCAAAATGAGGAATATGATGTTGCCGAAAGGCAGAGAAATGGTTCTAGGGCTGCCATTAATTTCCAATGTGATGATGCCCAAGTTAATTCTCTTTGGACCTCAGTTTCCTCCTCAGCAAACGAAAGATACTGAATTGTATTGTCTTTAAGGTTTTGCAAAGGGTCATAGATTCAGAGCTGGAAGGGACCCTCGAAGTCTTCTAGTCCAACATTCTAATTTTACATATAAAAGAGGGACTCCTTAACAGGGCAGCCAGGTGGCTCAGCAAATAGAGCACAGGACTGAAGTCAGGAAAACTCATCTCCCTATATTCAAATCTGGCCTCAGACGCTTACTAGCTTTGTGACCCTGGGCAAGTCACTTAACCCTGTTTGCCTCAGTTTCCTCATCTGTAAAATGAGCTGGAGAAGAAAATGGCAAACCATTCCAGCATCTTTGCCTTGAAATCCCCAAACGGGGTCACAAAGAATCAGACACGAATAAACAACCACTAAAGTCAATGGGGGTTCAGTCTAGAGAGTGGGAGCATTGTGTGAGCTTGCTTCTGGAAGGGTGTGATGCTGTGAAATGCAGAGTGGGGCTTCCTGCTTTGGAGCATGCACAGGTATTCTGGGCCTGTCTGGTAGAAAATAGGGTTTTTTGGTTTGCTGCTGAGCTGGTAGCTCACTAGAGAAACCCGCTTTTGTTTCCTTCTTGCTTGGCCACAAGATAGAAGAATGACTCTCTGAGCTCAGTAGCCAATAAAAGGGCCTCTTCCTTCTTGGGCAGTCACAGAATACCCATCCCATTTATGTACAGCTCTGGAGAGCTGTACCACTCGTCACACACTTCCAGAAGCAAGCTCATCCAATGTGCAGGCTCCTCGGACTTGGGCTGTCATTGGCAGTTCCTCCTCCTATATAGATAAGAAAACTGAGGTCCAGAGGAGTGAATTGACTTGCTCACGATCAGACTAGTGTCGGGTACCAGAAATATTTGGATTCTGGTTTTCTGACTCTAAATCAATTGCTCTTTTAGATACACCACCGTCTCCCCTTCCATCTCTGACCGTCTAGGATTCTGAGAGTTGTTAGAAGGTGGGCAGGTAAGAATACTTCTCATCTGGCCTCAGTCTTAATGAGGTAAAGGGAAAGGAATGAGCTCTGGCTAGTATTTGAGGAGTTTAGGCAGTACCACCACCCCACGGTAGCCAGTTGTAAGAATGAGGAATGAAATGGTTCGTGTGCTACCATTTCCATCTGCTTTGTAGTCAGAGGGGAGGAGTTTGTCTTGCCGGTAGCCAAGAACAAATGCCAGAAGGGAGAGGATGAGGGCATCCATGATGCTGATCATGGCGAGCAGGAAAGCCCAGCGGATGGTACAGGCGCCCAATGTGTACTTGTCTGTCTGGTCCCCACACATGCGCTTCACTTCACTGGAGTCCCAGCCATCTGGATAGACCAGACAGCCGATCATTAAGCCTGTAGCTGCAGGAAAGGGAGAGAGAAGAGGGATAATTAGACATAAAGGATTCCCATATATGTTATTTCATTTGATATGCAAAACAGCACTCTGACATAGGCCTTCCTGTACTAACTTTACAAATGAGGAAACTGAGGCCTATAGAGGTTGTCACCTCATCGCTACATCAGTCTCACACCTCCAAATGCCTCTTGGATATCTCAAACTGGATATAGTGTAGACATCTTAAACCCAACAAGTGGAAAAGCAAACTCGTTATCTTCTCCCACCCTCACTTCTCCTCTTCCAAACTTCCCTATTACTGTTAAGAATACTATCCTCCCAGTCCCCCAGGATTACAATAGAGGTGTCATCAATTTCTCACCCTTACCCTGCCTTCCCATATCCAATCTGCTGCCATGACCTGTAGATTTTACCTTTACAACATCTCTCACATATACTCCCTTCTCTCCTCTGATATTGTCACAACCCAGGGGCAGGCCCTTACTACCTCCTATCTGGGCTATCAATCAATACACATTTATTTGAGCCAAGAAATGAATTTCAGAGCCACGTTATGCAATGACTAAGAATGTTAAACTGAACCCTTCTCAGCATTACGAGGATCTAAGACATCTCCAGAGGCCTCGGGATGGAAAATGCTGTCCACATCCAAAGAAAGAACTATGGAAGTCGAATCGCTCTCACTTATTTTTACCTTAAGTTGAATTTTGTTTCATCTTTCTGATGGTTCCTCCTATTGGTTTTAATTTTTACTTACAACTTCACTAATGTGAAGATATGTTTAATGGGTATGTAAATGTAAAGCCTATGTCAGATTGTGCGCCATCTTGGGGGGGGGGAGAAAAAGGGAGAAAAAATTTTCAACTCAAAAGCATATGGAAAAAAAATTTTTTTTAAATAAAATAAAAAAAAAGAAATGAATTTCAGGCATGATGGGGAAAATATCTGAGTGTGTATTGGTTAGGGGGGACACCTTAAAATGACTTAAGTCTCTCTGAGTCTCATTTTCCTCATCCATCAAATAGAGATAATATTTGTACTTCCTGCCTAGGAGGGTTGTTTTGAGGGTCAAATCAAAAGTCCTTCCCAACACCTTTAATCACCTCAAGTAGGTAATAACCTTCTCTACCTACTTCAGAAAGAAGACCCAGGGGTTAAATTACGGGCCAAAAAGGAAGGCAGTACTTTTTGTAAAGCAGGCATGCAGCCTTCTTGCCAAGATGGATGGATATAAGAACAAGAGACCACCCACTGTCATACTACTCCTGCAAAACCATAAAGTTACTCCTTCCACTTTGTAATTACACAAAAGTGAGGTAAACTTCTCATCAACATCAAGGTTGAATAGCTTGGGGTGTGACCAAAGATTCCTATATCCATAGGAAAGATGAGCAAAGGCTCCTGTAAGAAAAGCCTTGAGTGGCGGGAAACCCACAAGGGGACCATGGAAGCTATCAGTTGTGGCAGCAACCAGTCCAGGTGCAGCATGTCACATACGGAGATAATGCAGGTCTAGTGGTCCCCAGGTCTCTAGTACTTTGTCCTGAGACACCACAAGGGCCCTAAAGATCCAGTACTCTCAAAGATCCAGGAGAGCCTAACTCTAGGAAAAGGTCAGAGCAGGAACCTAGATGACCTGGGGAAAAACTAATCAAAGCAGGTGACCCTGCCTAAAAATGTGGGAATAAATGCACAAAACCCCAGTTCAGGAATTAAGGCTGGAAAGAGGAATAAACACTGACCACTATAAAAAAAAATTATAATAAATCCAGAGATACTAAAAAGTACAACTGAAAAATGAGAGGGAGCTCTGTAATAATTGCAAGGAGAAACTCAAAAGAAAAAAATGAATTTTGCACCAGGAGTATATGAATATCTACAAAAAAATGAAGGGGCAGGTAGGTAGCGCAGTGGATAGAGCACTGGCCCTGGAGTTAGGAGGACCTGAGTTCAAATTTGGCCTCAGACCAAACACTTGACACTTACTAGCTGTGTGACCCTGGGCAAGTCACTTAACCCCAATTGCCTAAAAATAAAAAATAATAATAATATAAAACAAAAAAAGAAAAAATGAAAAAAATATAAAAAATGAAATAAAAGTTGTGGAGGAATTAATTGGAAGTATAATAAATAGGTTACAACAGAAAGACACAAATCTTACCCAAGTAACAGACTTTTTATAAGTTAGAATAGATTAAAAAAGAAGTTAATCACAATGAAACAATTATAAAAATTGAAACAAAATTAAAAAGCTAAAAACCTTTCATTTTTCTTGTTGTTTTTTCTTTATCTATCAGAAACAACTGATCTGGAAAACAAGTCAAGAAAAGGCAATTTGAGAATTATCAGACTCCTTAAAAACCATGATTTTTAAAAATCCTGGACATTATATTTCAACAAATGAAGAAGTTGTAGATGAATAAATGAAGAGTGTGCAGACCTGTTAGAACCAGAATGCAAAGTGAAAATTGAAAGAGTCTACTTCCTGAGAGAAATCCCCAAAGGATAACTCCTAGGAATGTCATAGTCAAAATACAGAGCTTCAATGTCAAATAAAAGGTATTATAAGCATCCAGAAAGAAAGAGTTCAAGTACCAAGGTTGGCTGGTTGGTTGTTGTATTCTCAAAGAGGACCAAAATGATTATCACTATGTTGGAGTCAAGGTACAGTGTGTCTGACTGGCTGATCAGACCAACTCAGAAGACTCTACCCCAAGTCAGGCACAAATAGTCCACGTGAACATTTGGAGTGATGATGGCTCTAAATTTTCACATCTAACATTTCTTTTGAGCTACTACAATTCTGCTTCACTCATAGAACACAGTGCCTTCTTTGATGTGGGCACACCATGCTGGGTGGTGCTGTGCCAGTGTTTCCCATTTCACTCAACTGATTCCAAAGTTCTTCAGAATAACCTTAAGAGTGTCCTTGTATCACTTCTTCTGACCTCCATGTGAGTGCTTACCTTGTGTGAGTTCTCCAAAATACAGTCTTTTAGGCAAATGTATGTTTGGCATTCAAACAACGTGGCCAGCTACATAGATGACAAGGTTGATGCACAAATTGCTAGAGTTAGCTCAGTGTTTGGGAGAAGAGAGGTATTAGATGGCATACCATACTGACAGTCTGTAGAGCCATTGTGTTGACCTTATTGTTTTATGCCTGTGAAACCTGGACGATATACCAGCACCATGCCAGGAAACTTCCATTTGAATTGTCTTGGGAAAATTCTGAAGATCATCTGGCAAGATAAGGTATGGGACACCAGGTCCTTTCTTGAGCTGAACTGCCAAGCATTCAAACTCTACTGCAGAGAGTGGAAGTACCAAGATACCGCTGTCAGGATCACCCACAACCAGACAGCTTCTACTATAAATGAGAGGCAGTCTTGGAAAATAGTATACAGTACCAAAAGACACAAGACAAAAGGCTGACAACCAAATACAACTTACTTTGTAGAGCTAAGTATAATTCTACAAGGGAAAAAATGGATCTTTACAGGAATAGAGGATTCTCAGGCATTCCTGTATGGAGGGGAAAAAAACACATCTAGATAGGAATTTTGACAAGAGTCACAAGAAAACTCAAAAAATGACTATATTAAAGCAATTAGAAGGGGCTGGTGGGTGGATTGATTCTTTTCAGAACTTTTAAAAAAGGAAAGGAAAAGGGAGGATAAAAAGAATACCCTAGTGCAGAAAGAAAGAAGAAGGAGGTGGAATTTATTTCTCCATTTCAGAGGGCATGAGAAAAGAATACAAATATAGAGGAAGGTATAGTGGGGAACAGACATCAGAAGAATCTCAGTCTTAACTGAACTAACAGCTCTAATCAAAGCAATAAACAACCATGTCTCCAGAAGACTTATTGATAAGTAACTTGTTTGTATGAATGTTAATAAAAAAAAATAAAATAAGAGGCAGGCCATTGAAATATTGTTAATAGTGCACAAAGAGGTAGAGAAAGAAGTTTAGAAAGAAGCACAGACAAGCAGGACAGTTTTGGAAGTAATAGGTTGAATTTATTATATTTTTTTAAAAAGCAAACAGTATGGAAGAGAGATTCAATTTCATATACAATCTTCTCTTTTTGTTCCAAGCTTGGGATGAGGTAGGCACACATCATGTATTGTGTTCATCTAACAATCAAATATGTTCATTTGTTTTGCTTAACTGTACCTTTCTATTGTGATGAAGAGCTCTTTGAAGGAAAAAAAAAAAGAGTTCTTTGGAGGAAGGGCTAGGGGTTGAGGGAAAGCTGTGTTGTCAAGTGAAGTGAAAGCAATGTTTAAAAAAAATCAGTAAATTATCATCTTGGAGCACCTAGGTGGTGCAGTGGATAGAGCACCCAGGACCTGAGTTCAAATTCTGCCTCAGACATTACTATGTGACACTGGACAAGTCACTTAATTCCTATTGCTCAAAAATAAATAAACAAAAGGGGCAGCTAGGTGGCTCAGTGGATAGAGCACCAGCTCTGGATTCAGGAGGACCTGAGCTCAAATCTGGCCTCAGACATATAACACTTACTAGCTGTGTCACCCTGGGCAAGTCACTTAACTCCCACTGCCCAACCAAAACCAAACCAAATAAAAAACAAATAAACAAAAACACTCTCTCTCTCTCTCTCTCTCTCTCTCTCTCTCTCTCTCTCTCTCTCTCTCTCTCTCTCTCTGTCTCACACACACACACACACACACACACACACACACACACACACACTCCCCTCCCCCACCCCCCAAAAAGAAAAAGAATCATGGTTGTGAAAGAACATGTGAATTTGTATGTGATTTGAGGCTGAGAATCTCTTAAAACATAGAAACGACTTATGGGAAATATAGGATTCTAAGTATCTTAAGGGCCTGAACATAAGCAAAACTCTGAAACTAAATTCTTTTTGAAAGCAAAAATACATATATACTGAACAATAACACCAAATTACAAACTACATCTGAGTTTTATACAAGGCAAAGTTTGGGGGAAAGTATTTTAAATCACAGAA